ACCAGGTCCATGTGGGTTTCCCTTTGGGAGTTTGTGACAGCAGCTGATTAAAATGATTCAAAACCAACTACTTCCGAACAAAGCAGCATTTATTCTTTCATCCAACGGTACAAAGCATGCAGGGCCAAAGTATAAAACAAAAAGTCCTACGTGCATATTTGCTTATTTAACCTTAACCTCTGTGTCCATAGCTCAGGCAGGCCTGGATTGTTATTTTCCATCTCTGAATTGGGCACACTGCTGCCTGCAGCCTGATCCCTCTCTAGGAGTATGGTTTCCCAGGCTGTCAGCTTTTTCACTGCCGCGTCCTCTGTAGCCTCTCCTAGTTCACCCAAACCCTTTCCCTCTTGTATGCGCTTTTATCCTAGGCTTAGCACTGGGACAGGTAACCCATCCTAACCCGGATGGAGCCATATTGGTAGTTTCTCCCTTCACTGCTATCTGAACTCCTCTGAAGCTTTGTTTAGTCTGCAGAAGAGAAGAATGAGGGGGGATCTGATAGCTGCTTTCAACTACCTGAAGGGGGGTTTCAAAAAGGATGGATCTAGACTGTTCTCAGTGGTAGCAGATGACAGAACAAGGAGTAATGGTCTCAAGTTGCAGTTGGGGTGGTTTAGGTTGGATATTAGGAAAAACTTTTTCACTAGGAGGGTGGTGAAGCACTGGAATGGGTTACCTAGGGAGGTGGTGGAATCTCCTTCCTTAGAGGTTTTTAAGGTCAGGATTGACAAAGCCCTGGCTGGGATGATTTCGTTGGGAATTGGTCCTGCTTTGAGCAGGGGATTGGACTAGATGACCTTCTGAGGTCCCTTCCAACCCTGATATTCTATGATTCTATGATTTGTCCTTGAGGATGTCACTGTACTTCCTTTTTTGCCTCTTTCTATAACAACCCGTTCTTGTCCCCCCCTTGATTTAATTCTATGCATTCAGATAGGCAGGGAAACTGAGTCACGCAGACTATTCATAAAAAAATAGACATTGTCCCACTTTGTCACGACCATGTCGTGCACTTGTGGGACCCAGACTTCAGTGGAGACTCCATCAACCTCAGTGAAGATGCACTGACAGAAAACTGTTAAAACCTAGCAGAGAATGAGGCCCGTGGACTCTTCCAACACATATGGCCGGATCCTTGGCTGGTGTAGTTTGAAGGAGACCCACTCAGTTCAGTGGTGTCAAGTATCAGGGGGTAGCCATGCCACCACTTTAGCCATGGCACTTTAAGGTGCCACCAGACTCCTTGTTGTTTCAGTTCAGTGGAGACATGCTGGTTTACCCCAGCTGGGAATCTGGTCCATGCTATCTAAATAGTTGTGAGAACATGGATTATGTTTCAGAGGTTTTGTTTGAAACATGGATTAGTGACCAGATGGGTTGTAGCAGCCAGAGCCCGTTGTATAAATACATATGAAGGGAGGGCTTTGAAAGGACTAATATTTAGCTTTTCGGCTAAGACAGATTGGCTGCTCTGGGAATATCTATGTAGGGAAGTTTGTCCAACATTATATTTGAAGGAAATTATTGCTAGTGCCAGGCACTAAATTAACAGCCCTGGAGACAGAGTTCATCCAACAAAAGGATAGTGCCAGTAGCAGGCCAGGCTTCCCTCAGAGTGTCCTTGCCAATGTCCTCAGCCCTGCCCTGGAGGCTCTGAGAGGAGGTCAACTTCTGGGGCCTAATCACCTCTCAGCCTCTCTGCTGACACCGGCACAAGGGGCCCAGCTGTGCCAACAGCTTTTGTGGCACTGATACTAGTTCACTAGACAAGGTGCAGGAAACACGCTGCAGCTTCGGTGCGGTCTCATTTGGTAGAGGGGCACACCTGTAATTGGTCAATTCAATCTGGAGTTCAGGAGTGCTCCTAAATTTGTTGTTGATGCTGAGCGCTCTCATAGCCTTACACACAGAGGTGGCTATCTACCGCCTCCAGTTGGCTAGGAGACTCTCCTCCTGGTGAATGATGGTCTGGCCTTGGTTACACACATCTCTCGAGTGGATTGCAGCAACGCTCTCTACCTGGGCATGAAGCTACGAGCCTTTAGGGACCTTCATCTAGTTGAGAATGCTGCAGTGCACCTCAGCCACGCTGGCTAATGCAGGCCCATCAGCCGTGTCCTCAGTGCTCTACACTGGCTTCCCAGAGAATGCTGGGTCAAGGCCTCAATCCTTATCTTTAAGGCACTTTGTGGCCTGAACCAAACTTGGTTCGCTGCTTCTTCAGGGTAAGCCCCTGGGAGGCCACGAGACTCTTTGTTTACTGTAGTGTCCACAGGTACGGCCGCTTGCAGATTAGCCTGCCCTGCTTCACGTAGCCCCCATTGGCTGGGAACGGCAAACTGCGACCACTGGGAGCTGCGAGCAGCTCTACCTGCGGACACGCGGGTAAACAAAGTGTCTTGCGGCCCACCAGGGGCTTACCCTGAACAAGCCATGAACCAAGTTTGGGAACCCCTGGCCTAGGGTACCTAGAAGATTGCTTGCAGCTCTGGGATGAGGATTGCGGTCGATGGCTCCCCACCTCAGGTGCAATAGAACTCTACCACAAGGGTAAAGTTCACCTGTGCAGGAGATGGAGCTTTCCCAAGGCCCGTCTGACACCTTGGAATGAACTCCTCCAGGAACTAAGGGCTACCACAAATCTTACCACCTTCAGTTCCAGGGGCAAGGTATGCATCTTTGACCTGCCTAGGCTAACAAACACAGAACAGAGTGGATATTTAAAACACAAATCGAGAAAAACACCTTTCAAAACAAACCATTCCACTGAACACACAATTCTTCCCCCTGGGGTGAGGATGTGAGAGAATGAACCACTCATGAGTGGGGTTAGCAACATCACTTAATGTATGACCAGAAGGCACTGAGATACAGCAGTGATGGTGGCAAGATAAGAGCTTCTATAGAATAGAAATGTTCTGAGTCCCCACAGCCCTTTCTGTGGGCCATTATATGGCAGGGGTACTGGAACAATTTGTATAGTGGGGGTGCTGTGAGCCATTGAACCAAACAGTAAATTCTGTATATAATGGAAACCACTGGAGCACCCCTAGCTCCAGCCCCTATGTCAGATGGTGACTTCAGACACCACCAACCCAAGCCAGATCTGAACAGGTGAAAGGCCCCCAATTTCCTCACCAGTCTTCGAAGGTATCTAGTCCCCCTGTTCACCAAGGGCACTTTGTGGATGAATTCTCCTGGTGATACATGGTGCTGCTGCTGGCGAAGTTACTCTTCAACTGTCATTATATCATGACAGATATAATTGGTTGGGGTTTTTTCAGTGAGTCCCTCACCCATCATGGATTGGAGTCACCTGTCAGGTCTCATTACCACTTGTGAGTGTTAAACTCGGAATGAGAGAGAACCGGGGTCTGCAGAGGAGGTCATAGGTCATTCTGGCTCTGTCTGGTTCTTGAGTGAGGTGAGCCCAAGCAAAACCCTACAGACAAACATTCAAAGCTGGACTCAAACAGGGTGGTCTAGTTCTATCTCCACGGCTAGACAAATTTCACCCCCTCCTGAACCATACCAAAGTGTCTCAGTTACAGACATGACATCATGGGAACAAACTCTAATTGGCTGATCATACAGCCAAATGTATTTGTTATAAACAATTCCGCCAGCTCTGCCTCACAGATAACATGTTTACAGTAACAGCAGGTAGCTGGAGCTTGCCATGTTTCTCCATCCCTAACAGTGGGAAAAAAATCCTCTCCTAATGCTCTTAGAACTACAGGAGACTAAGACTGCTGTGCAAAGGGCCATTCATGTGGATACACTGAAACAGTAGCACCTTCTCTGGGCTCTCCCTGTTAGAAGTGCTGCTTGTGAAGGAGGTAACTGCAGGAGTAGATGAGTCAGAAGAAAATGGTATTGTGCCATGAATCAAGTGGTAGGCTTTGTAATTTAGATGCCTGAGCTACTCACAGATATGTACTCAATGGGCTTACTGGGCCTCAAGCTGTCACTGAGTCTAGTTGGTCCTGGTGATGTATTTAAGCTATGGAACCATTGCTTTTGTTTTCTCTGTACTGCACCGTTAAATTTCTAAGACCTTTGCTTGTGTGCATGGCTGTAGCCATTTTATCTTGGGAGTGGCTGCAGACGGTTAGAGGGGAGACACAGACAGTATGTGCATGCTCTCTCTCTCTCTCTCTCTCATGGAGACTTTGCTTTTGTTCTTTCTTGTTGTCCTCTTCCTTAACCTATAATGAAAGCCATTTCAGATGGGAAGTGAAGGGTTTCTCTGGGTGTATGGGAAGAACATAACAGGGTTGGTGAAGCTGTGGCACAAGGGAACAGTCAAGGGAACCCATGTGACACTGCTTTCCCAGGAGAATTGAGCCTTGCAAAAGAACTTACCTTTGGCTCGTGCATAAAGGCATTTCCCTGTAGGGCAATAACACTTTTAGTCAATACGAACTATAACCTTCCTCATTACCGTCCTCCTTCTCAGTTCATTTGCATACTGCAATCCCATTGGTTACAATTAAGTCAGCTACAAATTAAGTTAGATCTGTGGCACACAGTCAAGCAAAGTCATTATCTAAAGACACCAACTAAAAGTCCATTAACTCAAGCCTTGAAAATCAGTGTTTGGAAGGGGTCCATGGACATCACTTTAACTACAGTGCTGAGATAGGTCTGAGCTGCAGAATTCCAATCTGTATCCATGGGGGTCCTTGGTTTGTGCTTCCCTACTGAAACGGCCTGAATACTCCTGGAGGTGAGCATATTCCAGAGAGATTATCAGAGATGTTTCAAAAGAAGGCCATGGTTCTTGAAACATAAAACATGGCTGACTCTGCTGCAAGTTCATGGGAAAATATTGTCTCTGAAAATGATTTTTAATGGGATGGGATCATTGTGGAATTGTTGGGGTTTTACCTAATCTGAGCCAAATTTGGGAGCCTGTACAAAGAGATGTTACAACCAGAGCTGTAGAGTGATGCTGGTGGCAACTCAGAGCAACACATTCTTTTTGCTTCTTCCTCTAGGTCCTGGAGCCCGAGGACAAGGCTCCAGGCAGGTTTCTGGACACTTCAGCTTCCCAGGTAAGGTGCAACATAAAGGACTGGTATTGTTCTGGGGGGAAGATATTGGAGGGGGGTGAAGGGTTAGCTATGGTATGGAGAGGGCTTGGGATGTAGATTTGGGTTTTTGTTGTTAATTTCATGTAGATGAAAGGCTATGGCTGGAGACCAAGTTCCTCTGGGTCTCTACATGGCAGGTACAGTGTGAGTGGCAGCAGTGTAAGCTTCCCTAGCCGTGTTCCTCATTGTCATATTCTGATGAGGGGGCTGGAAAAAGAGGGTCAGGTTCCAAGCAGGACCTAGTTTGGTGTGACACCTGGACCTGGAGCTCAGGAATGCAAGCTCCTGGACAAACATAGGCCTCTGAGCATGGAACCCTGGCCTCTCAGTATGAGGAATAAAGATCTCTCTCCTGCAACTCTACCTGCCACATCCCTTATTGCTAACTAAGCAAACCTGGACTGCACTTGGCAAGACCTTCTCTGGGAGTATGAGAGGGATTCTCCGTCTCACTCACTGAGGATCATTCATTCCTTGGCCTCTTTGCTTAGACTGTCAACAAGAGAGTAACTTGGTTGCAGTTGTGCTGGTGATGTTTGTTCAGCTGTCCTCTGTGGCCTGGGTGTGAGAGTGTAATCCTGGCTCCATTGAAGTCAAGGAGAGTCTTACCATGGACTCCAGAGAGGTCAGAATTTCACCCAGAGAGTTTATGGGCATGCAGGGGTGTGTGGACGTGAGGGCAGGGATTCCTGATGCTTCTATCACCTGCTAGACAGTCTGAGGTGTCTCCTCCAGTCGGGACAAGTGGGGTTGGTAGTTCTGATGTGTAGAAACATAAGCCATGGGCTACGCCAGGGATGGGCAAACTATGGCCAACGGGCCGAATTGGGCCCACGAGCCGATTTAAGCCAGCCCGCAAGCCACACGATGTAGCTCGGCCCTGCTCTGGCGCTCCTGCCGGGGTGCTAGGTCGGGGGCCGCACCAGCGGCTCGGCCCCACTCCGTTGCTCTGGCTGGGGCTCTGGGTTGGGGGCCGCACCAGCAGCTCGGCCCCGCTCCGGCTGGGGCACTGGGGTCAGGACTGCACCAAGCGACTCAGCCCTGTTCCGGCACTCCACCATGCAGCTCGGCCCCACTCCAGCCAGGGCACTGGATCAGGACTGCACCATGCAGCTCAGCCCCGCTCCGGCGCTCCAGCTGGGGCACAGGGTCGGGGCCGCACCACACTTGAGGTAAGTGCTGCTTGGCACCTTGCACCCCTGAGCCTCTCCCCACGCCCCAGCTCCAGCCCTGATCCCCCTCCTGCTCCCCAAACCCCTTGATCCCAGCCCAGAGCACCCTCCTGCACCCGAAACCTCTCATCCCTAGCCCCACCCCAGAGCCCGCACCCCCAGCCAGAACCTGCACTCCTTCCCCCAGCCCTTCTCCAGCCCTGATCCCCCTCTCACCCTCCAAACCCCTCGGTCCCAGCCCAGAGCACCTTCTTGCACTCCAAACTCCTCATCCCCAGCCCTACCCCAGAGCCCACACCCCTCCGGCACCCCAACCCCAATTTTGTGAATATTCATGGCCCGCCATACAATTTCTATTTCCCGATGTAGCCCTCAGGCCAAAAAGTTTGCCCACTCCCTGGGCTAGACTGAGACCATCTCACTTGTTCTACCTGTAAAACGGACTGGGTATGAGCTCCACTCTCCAGATAGGAAAGTTGAAAGATTTAACCAGAGATGGGTCAGAGCTGCAAAACTGCTATGTGGCTCCAGTCATTGAACTCACTTCCCCACTAAAGTTTGGAAGTTGGGTTTTGTCTCAGCCCTGAAGCTTGTCTGAGTCTGAGAGGGACTCAGGGTACAGGCAGGTGGCACTGGGGTGACAGGCTGACATGGTACACTGGAGACTGTTTTGATTGCTTCTTGATTAGCATAGTTAGGAAAGGAAGGTTAGCTACCGTATGGTAGCATGCAAGAGCTCTTGCCTCTCAGATGGGTACTCTAGCGATGCTCAGAGTACTGTATGTTATGGATAGGTGGTAGATTTCCCCAGTAGGAATTGCCAACATCTCTGCTAAGGAGGGTCCCAGGTGCTCTGTGATCTCCAGGAAGGGTGGGGATCTCAGTCACATGGGGGTGCCCCGATTAGTCTCATTTCAGCACTCCCAGGCGAAGTGAACACAGCCAAAGGATTTTGATTGCAGGGATTTTACCTGCATTTGAGCCTGGAAGAGAATGCAATGCAGATTTGTCCTCTCTGGGTCTGGGTTTGTGGTGAACACAGCATCCTGGAGCCATGAGGATGACGACTGTGTCATGGCAAGAGGGGTCTCGGTCAGACCAGTTACTGTGCTGGAGATGTCTTGAAAAATTTCCATGACTCCAAAACTTAGGTGGGGCTTGCTGGCTGCTAGCCAGGCCAGCTAGAGAATTAGAGACAGCTGAAGAGCAGCATTCTTGCTTGGTCTTTAAAAGATGAGAGGGGAACACAAAGAGCATATGCATGATTATATCTATGACTGGAAGCACTGGCTAATGGCCTGGAATCTGTTTTGAATTAGCTTGTCTCCCACTTGGCAGCATCCCAGCACCCTGGCATGACTCGCCCCCCAAGGCTGGGCTCAGGCAGTGCTTGGCTCCCGTTACAAAGAGCAGTCTCTGTCAAGCCCTTCACTGCAAGATCTCTACCACTTCAGGAGTGACCAACCCCAAGTTCCCAGGCACTCACAGCAGATGCTGGGTTCCAAGAACTGAAAAAAGATGGAAAAAAGATACATCCATTGTCTGGAAGGGAGGCTGTCCGGCGCTGGACCTGATGTGGTCAGGCTTTACCTGGTCCAAAATCTACTGTCAATCTGCAGTCCAGGTTTCAGACGCTGAATAAGAATGGGGAGAAAGACAGAGAAAATGAGTGGGAGGATAGTCTGATGGTGAAGGCCGTGCCCTAGGACTCAGGATATCTGCCTTCAGTTCTTGGCTATGCTACAGCTGTTCCACGTGACCTTGGGCAAGTCCTTTCATCTCTCAGAACCCAGTGCCCAAATGGGATAATAATGCTTCCTTTATGTGTTTCGACTGAGCTAGGGCCTGTCTCCTCCTCTGTACAGTGTTAGCACAATGGGGCCCTGATCTCGATTTGGGGCCTCGAGGCACTGCTGAAATAAAAATGAAGTGTTCTATTTGTCCAGACGGAGCAAATATTTAAGAGCCAGATCCTCAGCTGGTGTAAACTGACAGAGCTCTGGTGACTCCAGTGATTTCAACAGAGTGCTGCCAATTTACACCAGTGGAGAATCTGGACCTTGAATCTTTAATGAAGAAGAGGCCAGCTGAAAACGTGGCTCATTGTAATAGAACATCTGAAGAGGGGGATGGCCTGTACTAAACAATACCCGAGCACAAGGGAGAACTAGTTATAAAGTGTCGCCCATGCACCATCCAGGCCCTGCAGCAAAAGGTACATTTTTCTAACTACCTTTTTGGAAATGAGACAAGAAGCACCAGTCAACTCAGAGGGGGTGCAGAGGAGACAACTAGAGAAGCACAGTCCAGTGGACGGGGAATGATATTACAAATAAAAAAAGCTGGGTTCTGTCCCTGACTCCGGCCTGCTGTATGATAAATGGCCCCTCCTTGCCTCAGTTACCCCTTCTGCAAAGTGGGGATCATATTACTGACCTGCCTTTGTTGAGTGCTGTAAGATATATGTAGGAAAGGGCCATTATGAGAGCTAAGTATAATTATCTTGCTTACACTGCTTTACCGGACTTGCTCCTCATTTACACTGGTACCGACCGGTCAGACCAGAATTGGGTCCATTGAAATTTTAAGTAAGCACAATTGTTTGGTACCCAGGGACACAGCATCTGGGAGTCCTACCTAAACACAAACATATTGGTTACAAATTGTTAGCATCCTTGTTTCCCATTACAGATCCCTGGCCAAACCCACACACTGAGCCCTGGATCTCATCAAACCCACTGGCATTTGATGGGCCCTCCACTGAAAATGCTGTCAGGGAGGTCTAATTCCCACAGCTAGCAGCAGGAGTGACCCAGCAGCTCTTAACATCCTGAGCACAGGAGGCAAAAGGGCAGCCCATGAATTATGAAGACACTAACTAGCATTTTACAGTTCCAAGGCCATCACTCCCAATCAAGTAGTAAATTGGATTTAATCTACAGTCCACATGTAGGTTGCACACAAGGCATTGATTAAAGAGGGAAAGCTGGGCTGCAGAGCCTCTGCGAGGCTCCCTAATGGCGCTGAAATCGCTGTCATTAATGCACAAAATTGCTTACGTGTCTATAGCACCTTTCATCCCAAGACACGAGCGAGCAGGGGTGGTCTTGTGGTTGAGGTCCCTTGCCTGGGACACAGGAGATGTGGCTTGAATTCCTAACTCTACCATGACTCGCTCTGTGACATGGGCAAGCTGCAGTGGCCCAGATCCTGAAACCACTGGTAGTTAGGTGCCTGAATACCATTGAGGACCTGAGCCTAGGAGCTGGATTTTCCAGAAGATCTCCATACCCAGAAAGTCCCCTTTAGAACAATGAGTAAATCAGCACAGCTGCATTAACAGAGGTGTCCTCTGTGCACCAGTGAGTTTCGCTCCACTGTGTATGTTAGAATTGTGCTCAGGTGTACATTACAGTGACTGCAGATTTGCGGACACAGCCATGGTAACTCTGAGCAAGCTAAGGTGTAGGGAGTAACACAGAAAGTGCAGCATACCCTGGGTGGCAAGAGAAACACGTGGAGAGCACTGGGACTTCAGTGGAGCAAAGGGAGGGCAGTTCCAACAAAGCAAGGCAGATGGTATGCCAGTCTCCTCCATAGATGTGGGAACTAGGGGTGTGGGGGGTGCTGCAGCACCCCCAGTTTTTGTGCAGGGTCCCAGCCCTGCACCCTGGGGTCCACTACGGCCCCACATATGGAGTCCTGGCTGCCACCGGACCCACGCCCAGGGCTCCGCTCTCGGGATCTGAGCTGTCAGAGTGCCTCCGTTTCCTACCACCATATTAGCAA